TTAAATTCATAAAGAGTACAAATTTTAATGTTTATAAATTTAATGTTTCGAGGCAAGAATGATGTACAACCTCCTTGTACCCGGTTTTAACTAGAAGTTAAATGAAGCAAATGGCAAAATGAATCATGACAATTTTATATTTTTTCTCATTTTCATAATAAAGTAACCTTAATAACACCAACTATTGCACAACGTTGATAAAACATCCGATGTTTCCTTTGAAATGATATGAAAAATTGTTTCCAAAAGTAAATTCACAACTGATTTTGGTGATAAATGTGGTTTTTGGCAAAGCGATTAGTTATCAGATAACTCTAGCATAATTCGAGTGAACATTAATAGCTAAATATTTCTGAGTAGTGTTCTGTAGCAGGATTTCTATTGGTCATTGATGAAGTGTCCCACAATGTAGACATATTTTGGAAAGTTCTTTAATTGCCTTTGATTGAGCGCAAAATTTTGCAAAATTTCACGAAATTAATTATTATTATTATTATCAAGAACATTTTAACCTTGATAGACTTCCGTCACTCGTGTATTTTGATAAGTGTTCTGACCACTAAGTTATGTGCACTAATGTCTGAGGCCTAGCAGGGAGCACTAAATGTGCAAATGCCTATTTATTATTTTAGTCTGAAAATTTACACTATTTACTTCCAAAGACAGCAGCTGCTGTAGGATATTAAAATAAAAAAGATGTATACGATGGTGTGCATAAATTTCGAATTTCCACACGTCAATCAGAATGTTTCTCATCTTATAGAATGGAGTTGAAAAATGCACTAGGTTCAATAAGATTACATTATTTATTTATTTATGCCAAATGGTCGACGTCTTGATAGCTATCATTAGCCACTTAGCTGACTTCGGGCTTCACAGAAGGAAAGGAACATCAAAGTGGGAAAAAGTCAAAAGGGGAACGGAAGAGTGATTCACAGATGTTAAAGAGACAGACACAAAGGAAGTGAAAAGGTAAGATGTCGAAGTGGTCGAATATGACATGCAGTGGTCTCAGGGTAGTTTGAAGTCAGAAATCAACTGCTTGTTTATTGAATGGGTAGGGGATGAAATCTACTTCATGAAATTAGCTTTTTGGGTGTTATAAAGCAGTACATTTAAACAATTAAAAGAAAATATTTATTAATAACAATGAATATTTATTTCTGAGCATCTGGAAACCGTTATACTCATTATATCACTGGCAATTATTAAGCCTATCTTAGTTTGATAACACAAGCTTGTAGCAGATAGCTACAGTAGTAAAGCTTTGACTAACTCAGAAATCTCTGTGGCAGGTTCTCCTATCTCTGGATAGACTCCCAGAACTAGCTAAGCTACAGCCCAGCTATAGAGGAAACAGACGTAGAGCACAGAACGCGTATACTAGGGAAGCATTGCTTGGTATAAGTGTTCACGCCGGAATCTAGTCATAATCAAAATGTCGGATTCGCTTAAACAAACAAAAGCTTCTGATTGGCCATTGGTTGTGCGTGCATGTGATCAAGCATTAGGCGATGACGTGTCCCACAAACTGAAAATTGAAACTGTTTATATAATAAAATATAATGCTATCTGGAGTATTCGATAGACTCACCTCCACGCGGAGCACCCTTGGAAACGTATACTCATACGGCAAAGAAATCTATAAACCGGCTGTTGACCTCTGACTTCAAACTACCATGACCCCACTGTATGTCATTTTCGACCACTTTCCCAGTACTCACCTCACCTTTTTTCTTAAATTCGACCACTTCAACAGTACTCATCTTACCTTTTCTCTTCGACTTCTCACTTCAAACTACCATCACCCCACTGTATGTCAAATTCGACCCCTTCCACAGTACTCACCTCACCTTTGCTCTACCTTCGACCACTTTCCCAGTACTCATTTTCTGTCTGTGGGGTGCGCGATAGACTTACCTCCTCGTGGTGCACCCTGGACAACGTACTTTCTTACGGCAAAAAAGTCTATCACTCGGCATTCGTTTTTGACTTCGATTAATTATGATTAGCTTTAAAAAAGGCTATAAGAAAAATCGCCCTCGTCAGGGCGAATCACTACGTCTTCAGATCCTCCAGTGGAATGCTGGAGGAATGTCTCCGGACAAAAAGATCCAAGTACAGAAAATCCTGCAAACCTATGATGTAGACATTTTCACAATTATGGAAGCTAACATTTCGGATGACAAACTGAAGTATTACCAATTCCCAGGTTACACCCTGTACAATCTACCTAAATACCGGCAAGTTGCAAGTGGAATTCTAACTGGAGTAAAAGATGGCCTCACCTCACACTACGACCTAATCAAGAGTATGGGCTCGACACAAGACAAATGTGAAATAATCAGATTAAATGTTTGGAAATGTCAAAACCACTTCAAGATATATGCAGTCTATAATCCTCCCCAGAATTGTCCAAACTTTGACATTCTGAACATCTCACACAAAACCATAGTATTAGGAGACTTCAACGCCCACTCCACCAGATGGGGCTACAAGGATACAAACATAGCTGGAAAGGAAATTGAAGACATGCTAAACAGCAACACTCTGGAACTTATTTATAGCAATGAGGATCCGGCTACATATTTGCACTACAATGGATCCAGAACAACTCCTGATTTACTCTTGGCTTCA